AAATACAGTAGATTTTAGAACTTGTAGAAAGGCAGAATTCAACTCGGCTGTGTGCAATAATTCTCTTAGAAACCTTTAAATAGCTGTGTGCTCTTTTATCTTAGTGAAATCTTCTTTCTTATTTTCTTTACCTTTTTCTTTACTTCTTATTTTCCTTCTTATTATTTATCAATAAACTATCTTATTATTATCTTATATACCTGCATGATATTATATATCGTTATCTGAGTGACATAGTAAATCTGAGTGATCTTATAAATCTGAGTGATTGTATCTTTGTGAATTAAGATAACAGTTAAACCTTCGTAACAACACCAGTCGTTGTGAATCTTTGGGAATATACCAGTCTTAGTAAATTACAGTTAAATACGTTGAATGGAACTAATTATAAATCCAGGACATAGGAATAAATCAGTAGATTACTACGTACATTAAAAAGAAACAACTCTCAAACACCTCGTTTAACTGTAGCGATCCACCAAAATCGCACGTTAACAATATAATAAATCATATAATCTATAATGTGATTTTATTAAAAACGCTCCTATATAAGTTTTTGTTATACTTTAAACTAATTAAGATAATATATAGGAAGGTGGTCAGTAGAAAAAGGGGAAATCCAAAAATTTTGTTAATTTTTATTATTAAGCTAAATTAGTGCATATGACTGAGATAAGCCAAGTGGTCTAATAATATAAATTTTGACCAAAATTTAGATTTCCCCCTTTTCTACTGACCACCTCCCATATGTATATTTTATTTAAAATAAGAATAATAATTAATTAATATTTAAATTATTAAATTAACTATAACTTTTAGATAAAAATACTAAAACTAACTAATCTAAATACTTAGATTTAAGTATTATTATAATTTTAAAATAAATAAATAATAACTATATATATATAAAAAAAACTTATAAAAAATGCTAAATATATTATACTTAAGTAAATGTATACATTTCAATATTTTATTAAATATCAATTTTAAATTTAAGAATTATGATAAAAGAACATTTATATTTATACTGATTTAATAATTTGATAATTTTTTATCATGAATAATAAATATAAAATTTATAATAATATTAAGAATAGTTAGTAATTGTTTACTAGTAAAATACTATTGTTAATTAGAATACATATATTGGATAAGTCAAAAAAGTATTAATTAACTTAAATTTTTTTATATTAAATTTTTTTTTTAGAATCCTTTTACTTTTCTAAAAATATTTATAAATATTATGAATTTTATAAAAAGCTTTCATTATCAATGAATTACAGTAAGTATTGTCGGTATAGTTTTAAATATTAAAAAAATATTACCAATTTATTTCTAGAAACCTAATGCTGATCATCTACGGAAAACGACCATATGTATCTTAAGCTAACCATCAAGAAATGCCTAAATTAAGTTCAAATGCGAAAACCTATTACCAAAGTCCAAAAAGTATCACTAATTAGCATAATCCAAAAAAGTGGATAGTTTAGAAAATAACTTAAAAAAGTTATTTTATAAAAATACTAGTAACCAATAATAACGCCTTAATTAAATTTCCTTCGCAATGATATAACCTAAATATTAATCTAAAAACAGTATCTATATGTAAATCATAGTATTACTTTATTACAAAATAATCAAATTTGAGTATTTTAATAATAAGTGAACGAAATTTAAATATTTTGAAATAATGACGCTCACATAAGATGAATTTTCATTTAAAGAATTCGAGAAATTGACTTTTCGTTATAAAGTCCAAGAAGAAAGAATCAAAACAAGATTGTGAAGTTATTGAATGAAACAAGTAATTTACAATTGAAGCAAGTACTATTCGTGATTTCAATTGACTAATATAATAAATACGATTGTGGCGTGAATTATATCTACTTGAATACTGTCATTCCAAACAAAGGTTTACATACGCATATTTAAGTTTCATAAATTTACACAAATTTATTTGTAGAGCAGTTGAAAGTCTTCGCAACTTTTAATTTATAATTTATTCTTCTTATTTTGCTTCATTATATTATTCATTATTTATAGAATGTAACATCACGATTGGCAATATTTTTAATTTTATCGTGTACGATATTATTACTTTGGTTTGAATTTTAAGCATTTTTTATTTTTTTATTGAATTTACAGTATAAATGTTAATGGAACTTTTGATTCATGAAGTTTTTTTATAGATTCATTATCCTCGGGTATTGGTATCTATTGCGAACATTTTAAAGCTTTTTGTGTTTCTTAAATAACATAATAGAAAATATATTTAAAAAATGATCCATATGGGGCCTTTGCCAAGGAAACTGCCGGGAAAAATCAATTTTACTTTTATATGCCAAATATGATTTTTAGGCTGAAATATGTTCAAATTTAGCATTAACTCATTTTTGATTTTCCCCCCTTTCTATTGCAAAGACCCCATATATTCCTTATTCTTATGTCTATAATGAACTAAGTTTCGCATATTTTATGCATTTATCTTCCTTTAAACATTCTTATACATTATATATAATATTTAATCTCCGCCGGTCCAAAACATACATAAAAATACTAATATAGACTAGTCACATAATTTGTCAATTTGTACAATGTACTTTAACATTAAAAACACAAGAGCGGATTGATATACAAAATAACTGTGCTCATCAAAAATCTAAAATCAAAGAGATTGATTTCCTAGCAATCTTCCATATATAACTTTGGTTCAAAAGGTGGAGAATAAAATTAGATCTCATATAATATATCATTAAATTAAAAATCTTATTTATTCAAAATTTTTAGAACCTGATTTCCTAGAAATCTTCCCATATATTATTTAGCTCAATCAGTTAGCCAAAAAAGAGGAGATTCTTTTTTGTGAATAAAGTGTTAAAGGAAACTAAAGATGGAGAAATGAGGGTTATCTTGGCAATTAAAAAATTTTTAAGAATGGGGACAATAATATCAAATTTAAAAGTATTGTCTAGGCCAACATTTAAACGGACTAAATTGTTAAAATTTTATGATCAAACTAATACATAAAGGTATAATTCCGACAAACTAATAATTCATCGGAAAAACATTTTTTTTTATTCGATTTACGTGAGGTTTGTTCAAACTTGGTTAGTCCATTTTTTGATCGATTCTATTTGATACTTTCATTTTTGTCGAAGTTCGCGTTCTTTTTTTATTTTTTTATAATTTATTTAAATTCTCAAGCTAATATTATTGAAGTGATACAAAATTAACAAAAAAGGACCGTTCAAGTTTGAACAACCTTATGACAACGTTTCACGAATTATCAAAAATTGCAGGCTATAAAAAAAAAAAATTCTTGCATTTAAAATATTCGAGTTTCATTCTTTTTCTTATTTCAGAATTCTAATCCCTATCGTTCATATTGAGTTTCATTTGCAACCAATATTGATATGTCCCATTCGCAAAAATCTTTTGAATTTAATGTACGTACCCAAAAATTTTCGAAATTTGTACTTCAGTTCATTATTGACCTTTTTCATTTGAAAATTCATTGATTAGACTTCATTTGGTCCAACCGCATTTCCAATCTCATCTACATCTATTTCACCAATAATGCCCTCACAAGATTCGAATCAATATTCATACGTTGATAAACAAAAAGCTAATCCCATCGCTTATCTAATCGAGACCGAAGAAGAATATATAGAGGATTTAAGATGCTTGCTTCAAGTAAATCACATTTAAACTTCGTATCTTGTTAATTATAATATGTTAATTTATCATTTTTTCTTGCTCATAGCAAGTCACAAATAGTTGGGATAATGACAATCCTCCGCCGCCAGAATTGGATGTCATATTTAGTGTTCTTGGCAAGATTTATCGTCGCAATAACGAATTCTGTTCGGTGCGTGTTATATCAAAAAAAAAAAAATCTTTTTAGCTAATAATAAATTAATCAATATATCTATTTTATTTTAGAGATTAATGCAAATTGCATCGACAAATCAAATTGGTGATGTTTTAATGGAATGGGTAACAATGAGATACCATTTTTCAAATTTATTTCTTCATTTCTTTTTATTTTTTTTTTATTTATTTATTAATTATTTAATTTATTTTTTTCGTAGATTGAAGAAATGGAAGGACCATATGCTGAGTATTGTCAGAGTTACAGGCAAGGAATTGATTTATGGCCTGAAATTGATAATAATTTAACTTTACAGCAAGTCTTGAATGTAATTATCTTATTTAATTTTTTTTTTTTTTAAAAAAAAAGAATATCTAAATTTATTATCATATTCTTTTTAGAATATTTCTGCACAAAGGAATCAACCGGTGTCCTTAGACTTTTTCTTTGAGATTCCCCTCAAGAGAATTCATTATTACAAAAAATTATATATGGTGAGTTCTGATTTTTTTTTTTTTAATCTGTAATAAAATATTTACGCTAATTCGAATGATCTTCATTAGCGTACGATTAAAGGTTTTGAACCTGGATGGTCTGATTATGATAAGTTCGTAGTTGCAATCAAGCGAATGGATGATCTAGTTGAATTAGTAAAGAAAGCCAAAGAGACGAACAGGCCGAGAAATAATATTTCTATGCCAGTCCCACAAACTGTATTGCATACGATTATTTCACCCGTTAATTTACTAGGAGGTCCGACCATCCCCGAAATAAAAACAAGTCCAAACATTCCTGTAAATTGGACTTTACCATTGTTGGAAAGTCAACTTGATACGTCACAAGTCACGGATTTTTTCACAAAACAACTAAAGGTTAGATTTCTAGAAATGCTCTATTCGATATTTTATCATTCGGATTTATAAACTTATTTTTTAATAATTATCTTTAGTCGCTAAAAGTTGTGCTTACACCTCCTCATCTCCCATTTAAGAGGGAGATAGTACATCATGATGATTTTATAGTTATACGTCATGATGGAGATGGTTACAATAATCACAGAGCTCATGTAAATTCTCACTTATTTTTATTGACCGACTTGTTGTTAATCTGCCAGCAATTAACCCCAGAGGAAAAGGCATTAAATCCTTCAAAGGAGCTTTGGCTTTTATATCCACCGTTAAGCGGGAGACATTTGACAATTAATGATTTATACGACAATAAAGAATGTTAGTTGATTTTAAATCTTCTCATGGTTTTTGAAGAAATCCAAATAACTTTATTATTATTGTTGTTGTTATTATAGATTTGTTGAATATTGTAGTTTTACAAAAGGAACATTTGGTGCTTCGTGCAGAGAATCAAAATAAAAAGGATATATGGCTTAAAGCATTTACTCAAATGATTGAATTTGCAACAAAAGCAGGTAAGGAAAAAAAATTTCTTTTTATTCTGATCGTATATTTAAAATGTAATTAATTTTCTTATAGCAAGCACAAGACCTCAAGACTCATCACCTTCAGGAAAAGAGTATATTAAAATCAAACTTCCCCAAGTGTCATCTAAATTTAAGCTTGGTCTTCCATCAAGCCCACTATCAAATGACGCACCATTATCGCGAAATTTTCTTCAAGATAAAAATAACAGCGCACAAAATTCTAGAGATGATTTACGTGCAGGAGAAAATCAAGAGAGAATGAGATCACCTAAACCAAGAAGTCGAACTAATTCAATAACGTCATTGTCTTCCGTATCTAGTATTGGGTCATTTACAGAAACAATACATCAAACACCTCCATGTGAGGTAGATCGTTGGGTTGATGGAAAATGGGTTCTTATAACTAAAAATGACAAATGTATTGTAGAAATAAATATGACAAGTTCAAATAATCCTTGTTGGGCTGTTCTACTAGAATCAAGTGGGCGAATGGTTCTTAATGCATGGATACATCCCACAACTTCTTTACACAAAGAATCTCCATTTTCTATAAGTGTAGCATGTGAGATGGGAGTGGTCAAAGAGTTTTATAGAATAACATTAAAAAACCCGATTGATTCGGATAAATTATTTTCGGACTTTCTAAAAATGAAGAATCTTGGACCAAATACTCTGCCAGTACCAGGGCTTATATCCCGATCATCTTCGTTACAAAATAATCGACCGATTCAAACAATGAAAGAAATTGAACAAACGATGACAGATGTTATGGATTCAAGGGTTAAATTATTTTTACAAAATGATCATGGAAATTGGACAAATTTTGGTTGGGGAAATATGATTCTGTCATTGGAAACTCCTTCACATCGCAAACGAATTACTATTTTATCAGGGAAAAATTCGAAAATAGTTGATAGTTTTATCGAGGATACTGGAGTTGGAAGAGTAGGCAAATCTAGTGTTACCTTTAAAATTAATAATGTAGGTGCTCCAATTATTTATATGATGCAAATGAAAGATGACACAATTGCAACGAAAGCTTTCGAAATTATGAAAATTGCACCAAAATCATAATATTATTATAAAATTAATAATTACTAATTACTAATTAATTTATTTTGCATATATAAATTATAAAATTATAAAATTTAAAATTTAAAAAAAGCATAAAATTATAAAATATAATTTAATACATAACATTAGAATAAAATAATTTGTAAATCAAAATGTTTTTGTCTCTTTCTTTTCTACAAAATAATTATGATATAATGTACATCTTTTAAAAGGTTTTCTGATATGGATCATCTAATAATATAATAAATCAATTATTTTTGAATAAAAGCATCTGTCTTACAAACTCCTTGAAGGATGATCTTGCTCACGTCGCTAAATCTATACAAACTTCCATTTTTATAAATAGTGCATTGAATAATTACTGTAATCCTGATTTATAAATACCACGCGATATGATGTACATTTTCTAATTCTCAAACTGTCCACATTAAGTCTAAATGTCTCAACAATCACGCGGCCTTGATTGATATCTCGCAAGGCGGTGTTGAACTTGATCAAATTATCCATGTTTTAATGTCCAAATAACCAGCGCGGGGAAATGTTGGATTTGATAATAATTCCCAAATGTCCCATCTCTTCGATAAAGTGACAGTATATCCTGATCCTTGCCCGTTTTTTAGTAGTAAATTTCCATTAGTTATGTATTGCTTATTTAGAGAATTCTCGATCAATAGGTATAGCGCAAAAATCCGTTTTTAATATGTTCGTCTTTTTCTTAATAAATTGTTTCACTTTATTTCATCCCATATTAATTCGTTTAAACAGACCTGCTGTACAATGCGGTCATGTAATATACATCGGCACCAGGCACGATGATTTTTTATAGTGATAAAAGGGTAAGGTAAATAATTTTGAAGGGACCAAATTGAAAATTTTTTTGTCAAAATTTATTCCTTCACCCCCATATATAACATTTTTTTTGTGGTGTTTAGGAATGTTAACGGTTCGATTAGTTCGGTTTCGGTTCGATTTTCGGCGGTCTGAGTTAAAATCGAACTTAGACTGATTTCTAGATCGATTTGAAATTTGTAGTCTAGACCGATCCTATGATCAGACTATGGTCTGAACCGTCCAATCATAGACCTTCCCTAGTGACTTACGTTTTGTAAATCCGGCTTACACGTCAAACAGTCAAATTTTTAATCCTGTATGTTATTCGAAATTTTGGAAGAAAATCCTATGGCCAATTGGTTGTGGAAAATGTAAAGAATAGATTAATTTAGTAGCATATCGATTAAAATGTGATGGATAAATTTTTTTTTTTTTTAATAAAAATTTTTTTTTTATATCAATAAAATATCGGCAGACATAACTTTCAGCCGAAGTAAGCATGGATATTTTAAGATAAGCATCGCGCCGTTCTCGTGTGGGCGAGAATTCATTCATTGGTATGACCTTCTCACTTGGATCATCTTCACGTCATGACAAGAACCTTTTTCTTTTATTTGAAATTTTATTATTAACAGATGTTAGATATTTTTATAACTTGCTCTCGAGTTAAATTTATAATTTTAATAAATTTTATGCATTAAGGGTAAATTTTATAAGATGAACGTACCTTTGTTGATTAATTACCAAGTTAGTATTCATAAAAACCTTTTCCAGATTTTTTTCCTAACCGACCAGCATCAACCAATTTTTGTAAAAATACAGCGGGTCTATATTTGGAATCCCCAATCTCTTTATGCAAAACTTTCATTATAGCTAAACAAGTGTCTAAACCTATATGATCGGCCAAAGTTAATGGACCCATTGGAACGTTTGTACCTAATTTCATTGTAGTATCGATATCATCACGTGAAGCGACACCCTGTTCCAAGGCTATCACTGCTTCATTAATATATGGCATTAATAATCTATTTGCAATAAATCCCGGAACATCTTGAGATTCTGTGAATGTCTTTCCCATGGAGGTGGCCAATTTCTTTGTAACATTACATGTATAAGAAGAGGTTTCCAACCCAGGAATAATTTCCACTAATCTCATTATAGGAACTGGATTCATAAAATGCATTCCAATGACCTTGTGATGATTTCAAAATAAAAAAATTAAATTAAATTCATTGATTGAAAATGAAATCATACTTGATTCTTAAAAACACACCTTGTCAGGCTTCTTCGTAGCAGCTGCAATTTTCGTGATGCTAATGCTACTTGTATTAGTGGCCAATATAGTATCATCACTTGTAATTTGATCCAATTTCGCAAATATTTCACGTTTTAAATCTACATCCTCCGGGATGGCCTCAATAATAAAACTCATTGAAGAAAATTCAGAAATCGATGTCGTTGTCGTAATGCGTGATTTTGTTTCCGTTGCTTTCTCACGTGTAATTCGATTTTTGACGACATCCTTTTCAAGTAAACCATCTACATTTGAACACACAAGATGATTTGAAATTAGAGATTTTGGTGAATAAAAGAATGTTTATTTGATATGAAGTTACGCACCTACAAAGGATAATCCTTTCTCAATTTGTTTAGGATTCGAATCCAATACCTTAACAGGCAATTGCGCAATCTGGGCTGCTACCAAAGCAATACCAAATCCCTAATTATACAATTAATTGGAATGAGAGCCAACTAAATGAAAAAAAATTTCAATAATTTAATTGGAGATACCATTTGGCCTGCTCCAATTACACCAATTTGTTTAATTCCATGATCCTCTATCTCCTTTAAAATTAAAAAAATTAAAAAAATTAGAAAAATACGATTAAGATCGATATCTCGGTTCAATATTTAATTTACCTTTGATATTGGGCTACTAAATTTTCGGTTATTTAGACAAGCATATCTGACAACTTGACCAAGGATAAAATTTCCTTTGCAAAAATAATTCATTTTTTTGACATAATTGGCCATATTGCGGTTTTCAAAATTGAATTTCAATTTTAAGGCGATAGTAGATCGGCGGCAAAAAATCGTGAAGCCGTATCATCTGATTTCTGTGAGAGGGTCATTTAACCAGAATTTATTTAGTCACCGGTGTAACATATAAAATAATGGTTTTCTGATAACATCGTCTTTTTTAGATAAAAAAAATTTTTTTCTCTTTCGTTTTTACTGTAACTACAAAATCAATTTATTAACTATAAAAATCATTACCTAATTTCTTTTTTTTAACTTCAAAAATCATTGTCTCCCTTTAAATTTCTTTATTTTTTTTAACTATAAAGAATCAATTTGAACATCATAACCCTTCCTTTAAATTTCTTTTTTTTTTAACTTCAAAAAATCATTTAAATTTCAGTTTTTTTTTAACTACAAAAATCAATTTGAACATCGTTTTTTACTACAAAAAATCAATATCTCTTTCTTTAATCATCATTAACACAATACAATTTCAGTGTAATAAAATAAAATTTAATATTTGTTGAAGTATTGAGTTTGGATCTATGTATCCGCAATTTATATATCCATATAGATAATAGATTGCAGATACTCATTTTTTTTGCTTTGGATATTATCCATGAATAAATAATTTTGTATAGATATTCTGTAGATAATCTGTGAATAATCCTTATATCTATGATAATCAGATATAATAAAATCATTCTTAAGGAATGATAATTGAATCATTTTAAAAAATGATAAAAAATTCATTCTTAAGAAACAATAGTTGAATTGTTCTTAAGAAATGATAACAAAATCATTTTTAAGAAATGATAGTTGAATCATTCTAAAGAAATGATAACATATCATTCATAAGGAATAATAGTTGAATTGTTTCAAAAGAACAATGAAAAAATCATTCTTAAGGAATGATAATTTGATCATTCTGAAAGAATGATAACAAAATTGTTCTTAAGGAATGATGGTTGAATCATTTCAAAAGAATGATAACAAAATCATTTTTAAGGAATGATAGTTAAATCGTTTCAAAGAATGATAGTTAAATCATTTCAAAAAATGATAGCAAAATCATTTCAAATAATAATAGAATAGCAAAATCGTTCCAAAGAATAATAACAAAATCATTTTTAAGAAACAATAATTGAATCATTTCAAAAGAATAATAAAAATTGTTTTTAAGAAACATAATTTGATTGTTCTGAAGAACAATAAAAAACAATTATTCTTTTAGAATAATAATGTATCATTCTGATAGAACAATAAAAAAATATTCTTTAAAGCAATAATTATATTATTTTAAAAGAATGATAAAAAAATATATTATTCTTTTAGAATGATTAAATATCATTTCAAAAGAATAATTAAAAAAATATATTATTTATTTAGGATGATTAAGTATCATTTCAAAAGAACAATAAAAAAATATCATTCTTTTGGAATGATTAAGTATTATTTCAAAAGAATGATGAAAAATTGTTTTTTTAAAACAATAATTGAATTATTCTAAAAGAATGATAATAAAATCATTCTTTTAAGATGATATATTATTCTTTCAGAATGATTATGTATTATTTCTTTGAAGATGATTGTATTGCTTCTCTGGAATGATTTTTATCATTTCTTTAAAAATGATTGTATCGCTTCTTTAAAAATGAATTGTATCACTTTTTTAGAATAGTTATATCATTTCTTTAGAGATGATTTTTATCAATTCTTTAAGGATAATTATATCATTCCTATATGATAATTTTTATCAGAATAATTATATCAATATTCATATTATTTGTATATCTGTATTATTTGTATTATCTATTAAATTTATCAAATTATACATATTCAGGCTTAATTTTTATATAAATAATAGATATTAAATTTATATTATGAATATATATTCACAGAGAATACACAGATCTAAACTCTACTAAAATATATTCACTTTTAATAATTAGCAATTAATAAACTATCTAAATAGACTAATTTGAAAAAAAATACAAAAATAACAAAATACAAAAAAATTAATGCAGATAATTATAAATTTTATTAATATTTTACGTTTACAAGCCTAATAACACATACATTTATAAATCGTGCGAATCATACATATATATCAAGTAAATGTATAATCACAATGATTATTATCATCTTCAAAATTAAATTTCATTTCTTATATAATTAAAATAGTATTTAATATATTAATTTGTAATATGTAAAACATGTGTAGATCATTGTATAAAGATTACTAGTAAATGAGCAGATTATGTTAATTATAAATTCGTATTATACTTGTGAAACTTAACATTTTTATTTTCTAGACTCAAATTTATAATAGGAAAACATTATGAGTTATCAGTTACACTTGTTTTGAGCGGAACTATTATTTCTCATTTGCATTATAACCCAAATTCTTAAAACTGATGGCAAACATCTGTTTATAAAAAAAATGAGTTAGATAAAGAAAATAATTCTATTAATACAGCTATTTTTATGTATCTAGTTTGTTTAGAAATAAAAACTAAATTTATAATAAATAATCAAAAATTTTTTACAAGTTGTAAAAGGTAATTCTAATGATTCAAAACAACTTAGTTATATTAGTTATAGTAAAAAAGAAATTAGTCAGTTTGCAAATAATCCAATATAAGCTGTTTCTTTATTATATCAGAAAAATT